CACAAATAGTAATCAAGATGGTTGCAGTTTGGGGAGTTATAAGTAAGATGTAAGGGTGATGTCGTCGCAGAAATTGTCTGATAGGCAGTACTGGGTTCTCTTGTTTGTGTGGCATTGTGTAGACTCCTGTTGGCAAACGTAGTGTCTCCCAGCAGCAACTCTCTTAACCCAGGCCAACACTACCTTCTCACGGTACTTGATGTTGTTTGATGCCCTGTGGGAAGATGAATGAAGGCATAACGTAGCCATTACTAGGTATCCTACCAAACACCTTCGTAATCACCATTAGACACATCCAACTTTTTTCTGGATCCTCTACACTGTCCTCAGATTGAAAACTCTTAAATATTCGTATTAGAGCTTCCGGTACGAATGCCAAGCAGTACAGCTTAGCATTTCGAAATTTCTGGCGGAGTGAATTGCATCATGGTGCTATTTTTCTCACAGACAGTGCACAACTGATCCCAATATATTGCTAACTGACAAAATCAAAAACAAACAACGCGCATGCGCGAAATTAAGATCATAGAATGGCGAAAATTTACCCATCACACCTAACCAATACTGATTGGTTATCGAATTACGTACTCTATTTATATTATTCGTACTAATGGCCTCAGCTTTGTCGCCATATTTATTACAACGTTTTGGGCGTTGTACGCTCCAGCCTTGTTCAGGTTGTTGGAATGTCGAACATAAGCCTTTATTTGGCTTACTGGGGTTGACTCTTTTAGTTCCACGTGCCATAGACAGATACTGAAGGCTCGGTACGGACCGGATGTACCGAAAATATGGCATGGCACGTGGCACTAGAACAGTCTACCCCAGTGAGCGAAATAAAGTGTTCAGTTCGACATTCCGATCACCTGAAGAAGGCCGGAGCGTGCAACGGCCGAAACGTTGTTATAAATATGGCGACGAAGATGAGGACAATAGTCCCAATAATGTAAATAGTGTACATAATACATCATATCAGAAATATAGACCGATATTGATTTACGTACCATACACTGTTCTCTTAATGCGTGCAGTACATTGCAACTGGCATTTTATAGACCAATCACGAACAACAGCCCGTTCAGCAACTAATTTTACCCGATTCTGATTCCTTTTATCCTATCAATATATTTCTGTGTGTGCGTAAAATATGTGTAAAACAATACTCCTCCGATTATACTTTCCAATACTTAAAATTTCATATAGACACTTAGATATGGATGCCGTTGTCTCCTAATCCCTGTATGGTTAGAGTGATGAGATAACTAGTTACTTATTATTAATTTTATATAAGGAATTGATTATCTAGTCACCCTTGCCACCCGAGGATTGTGAGAAAACAGTCCCAACATCTAAGTCTTCAATTAAAGCAGTAACATATAAGTATCGTCTTATATATATATATATATATATATATATATATATATATATATATAATATGCATACATCTGAGTTCTCCGTCACTGGAATATGATTCGCTGGTGTCTGTCATAAATACAGACGGACGTGTAGGTACGATATAGATTAAGTTTATGACGACGCCCATTGGACTACGCCATTGGCTATCCTATTGGTCTACACCTATTACCTGCGACTATGACGAGTACCAGTCGATTACTGCTACCGTGTACTACTTGGTTACAGTAGCCAAAACCACTTAGCTACTTCGATCAAATATATCCCTTTCCGGGACATATCTATCTATCTATCTATCTATCTATCTATCTCTCTCTCTCTCTCTCTCTATATATATATATATATATATATATATATATATATATATATATATATATATATATATAAAAAAATAAATAATATGAATATTAGTGTTTAAGCCTTTTATATTATATTCTTACTCTGTCCTGGACATTGAGTTCTACCTGATTCTATCCTCTTGGAATTTTTTTATAGAAAATATATATGTATGTGTATGCATGTATGTATATATATTTATATATTTTGCATATGTATGTGTATATTTACCACTAATATTATCTATCTATCTATCTATCTATATATATATATATATATATGTGTGTGTGTGTATGTGTGTGTGTGTGTGTGTGTGTGTGTGTGTGTGTGTGTGTGTGTGTGTGTGTGTGTGTGTGTGTGTAAAGGAAAATACTATGGAAAGTAAGGAAAACCACATCAGTCTACAACAATCAATCCAAAAACTATAAATTGTCTGGAGCAGAAAATAGCTATAATTACCTTCCCAGACTAAAACAAACTACTAAATAAAAGATCAAAATACATGTCAAAATGCAGAGACGAAAACAACTACTACGCTACTTATAAATCGAAAACTGAAAACGAACAAGAATGAAAATAAAATAAATAATCAAATATGAGCAAAACAAATTAATCTAAAAATTAAATAACGAAATAAAGTAAGTAAATAATAAACAAATTAGCAAGTCATAAACGCAAACATAAATAGAATTAAACATAATAATAACAACCAATAATAAAATAATGTATAATAAATAGATAAAAAAAAAGTTAGCAACAGTATAAATAACCAAAAATCTGCATCCAGATCTACAATTATTTCCACTCAATAGCCCCCACCCTAGAATAATTCGAAACACAACCGTTATCACCCCCGAAAATAACCACCAGAATAATACAATATATATATATATATATATATATATATATATATAGCCAGAATGCATCACGTATGATCTGATGATTGCATTTAGCATGACACACATATATATATATAATTAAGTAATTTGCATTTAGCATAATATAATTAAGTAATTCATCTAGTCTGAAAGAAACCTCAATAGAATGCCGTTTCGTCCTATATTTGGAAGTCATCAGCACTGCGCATCCACTACGGAAAATTGAAACCCTGACAGTGAGGTTATCATGCAAACGTCATAACAACTCTCTCGGTGACGAAGCGGTAGCAAATCAGATTCAGTATAGCGCTACTAGCTCACATATTCCATGGTGGAACTCAACTGAGATTCCCTCTAACCATAGGACTGTGACTATCACCAAGCCGCCCAGTCCTTTCTGCATTCTGTTGAGGTTTCTTCCAGACTCGATGAATTACTTAATTATAGTTATCAAATCCTCGTAATAATTTCTATCATGTATATACATATATATATATATAGATACACCTAGTGAGCCAGACAAACCTACCTAGGTTTGTCTGGCTCACTAGGTGTATCTAGGTCTGCTCTACGGTTGTATTGAGCTCTTTTGTTAGTTAGTTGTTATCTGTGCGATTTTTTTGTCGACAGAAGTTCATGTTTGTAGCTCTTTCTTTTTTTAAAACCTTTTTTTCCCTCGAAATTGATTTGATAAGCAAATCAAAAATTCGAGGGTTTTTCGAAACGAGTTTAGTTATCTATCTATCTATATATATATATATATATATATATATATATATATATATATATATATATAGAGAGAGAGAGAGAGAGAGAATTCTTCGTGGATGTGACAGAGCAAATTAAATTTAAATTAAATATGTATAAAATAGATTGTCTGTGCGTGTGAACATAGGACCTTAATCAGTGACATCAAATAAATGCAACTGATACAATTATGTCCACAGATATGGATATTATATTTTGTAAGCATAGTCACTTTTCAAATAAAATATCAAAAACTGTCCCCCACCCCGTGATCTATATTCTTTCTAATTTTCCTCAACGACCTTCCCGAAGTAATCAGTTCTCAACTAGGTTTCTATGCTGTCTCAGTGTTCACTCTGATACACTCGACAAGGTCAAATTGGCCTCAGATGTCAAAAATCACCAACACTCTGTTGTTAAATGGGACAAGGAGTGACTTGTCAATTTTAAGGTCTTCCAAACGAAACTTCTTACTTTTAATGGTCCGAGAGAATCATGGATGATGCTAACTCATTGCAACTTTTTAGGGTTAATGTTAGACGCTGACATGAAGTGGAAAGATTATATTGAATCAATTGCTAGGTTTTCTGCTTGCAAAGCTTGTTCACTGTGTCGTCCCAGAGACTTTTTCTTACTAGAATCTATCTTGCACATTCATAAATCCAGTATGGGTTTAATAGCAGAACAAAACAGGGCCCTATAACCTTGTTTCTCAAACTGTCCACCACAGAAAGGAACGGCTACCTATGGAGGAATTGTCTTCTACTTAGTGAGTCATGAATCGAAAGGAGACATGATCGCCCAGTCGTGTATCACGTACGGCACTTAACTGACTGAGAGAAAAGTTTCCATAACCCCCAACTTCCTAAATTCTGATTAATTCATTACTTTCATCAGTTTTGGGGAAGCGGGTTGGGCTGTGAACTTTTCATGGACTTCTCTTACACCTACGTAAATATCAAAGAATAAAACGCCTAAACGCCTATTGCTTTCCACCTATACGTCGCCACTATAACTATTGTATATTCTGTTATTTAAATACGAGCAGATATTTGCAGATAAACTCATCTGTTTTGACGATTTTCTTGATAAGGCTTCCTTGTATCCCTGGGCTTGAGAATAATTTTCTTATATTAAACTGAATAACTATTTCTATTTTCTCCAGCCCAGCGCACCCAGGATTTAATCTAGGAGAACATTGCTTCTAATCGTGAGACACAAACAGAATCCGCAAAAAAGGACTGAAGTATTTGAAATGCAGAAAATAGAACAGTATTTCCAATCGCAAGAATATCAATCATTATCTTAGGATGTTCGGAAGGTTTTACCAGAATGAGCTTAAAATAAATGCAAGTTTTTCTTTTATTCTCAGCCTGCGAAGGTACTTTTTCTTGGACGAAGGCCTTCCGCTGATTCTCGGGAAAAAGTGAGCCAGTCACTTACCGGGCTTGCTTAATCCTGTTGACAGAGGTGGATGTGACATATTTGGGCGACCTTTTCGATCCACGATCGCCCACGGTCTATTTGCGCGCATGTGAAGATAACGAACTGAACCTGGAATTCGAGTTCGACATTCCGATATATCATTCCCAAATTTTATCCATTATACCCCAGATCACATCAAAGATGACGACACCTAATATCCCAAAGCGACCACCTATCCAAATACTAATCAGTTTCGAAGGTTTTTAACTTTGGCGATCGGATGAAAACTGGTGTTTGAACGTGCTATGGCCGTAACTAAAATTTATTGAAATATTACGATACTTTGGAAACAGTTACGCTTTATCGGGACGGTTATAAAAAGAAATGCAACTAAAAATTATTTAAACATTATGGGTTCTAAAAAATTAATTGCATTCCCTCAATGGTGTGGCCTTGTTAGGGGCCAGAAATAAAAATACAAAAGAGGAATTGAGTTAAAGAAATATATTAACAGAAACAGTAATACAAACATATACAAACGAGAGTGTTACAGCAAGAATGTCGGCCCGACTGTCAGAGCTGATGGCTGGAAACTTCTTTCTCTAGAAGGCATTCCCTGCTTTTATTTATAGCTGGGAGACTCCATGCATGCATGGGTAAATTACCATAACAGTCAGAAATCATATAAAACAATTGTAGAATAGATTTATTTAAATATGATTAGGGTGTTCGAAATATAGTTTTCGTTTTACCAGAATTATTTAAAAAAAAATATATCGAGGTTGAATTAATTAAATATTATTTATTAAATGTGCAATTTGCTTCATTTTCAAATACTGCAGCCCAACCAAAGGTGAATTTTAGATACCATATTTACTGAAATCTGGATTCTCGAAGAATATGTTTGAAAGACATTTCAACATTTTGTTCTGTTGCCTGAACGTTCTCTCACTTATGAAAAGCTTTAGTTATCGAAACAGATAAAAAAAATCTGTAGGCGCTAAGTTTGGTGCCTATGGACAATCTTGAAAATATGAAAGAACTTCCTATCATAGAGATTTTATTTTAATTTTTTGGTGGGGATTGCCATGCTCAAGAATAACTTACTTTCTCTTGAACAAATCAGGATATTTTCAATTCGTTTACCCCATCGAGTTGCTCTCTGCAGTGCTGATCTTTCCATGCTACAATCAATCGCAATGGACGACAGCATTCATATTCCATCATGCGCAAAGCAAGGAATTTAGGTGATGGATTTTGAGTTAGGTTTTGATTTCACATTCTGAAATAACCACATTTTTCTCACCCGTAACAATGCGATCGAACAATAAAAGGTTGCTATTGCTAGTTAAAAGGCTTTTAAAGATGGTGAAACGTCAAAATCCCTTTTTGAAAGTTTTCTCAATTTAACTCTGTGTTATGGAGTGGTTTCACAGTGGAGTTTCGTAGTTGTACTAAGTCGGTCCTATAATAGGTTCGACGTACAAAACGTTAGAAACTTGATATAATAGGTAATGACGCAGAGAAATCTAGTGGTGGTCGCTGATACTTTAGTATCCGACTAACGGTCGTCCGGTATCGACTGACTGACCAACTCACTCATCTACCCCTCGTTACTATTACTACTCCTACTTATTATAGCTGGGAGAGTCTATTAACTATAGAATAGGTGTGTTCCACTATAACACTCGGACATTAACGACGAGCTACAACGCAGTATCTTATAGAAGAGATGATGAAATAGTTTTTGACACAGTTTTCTTCCATTGAAACTTAGATCAGCCTTATTTTGTTGACTCACAATTCATAGCTGTGAAAAACGTAATTATTTTGCGAACAGCCAAAGAGAAAAAAGATAACCTAATTCTAGATTAAGTTTCTTGCCATTCAGAAGACAAATCAAAATTCCGTCAAGTGCAGAAAGCATTGAGAAAAACAAGTGTCATTTTTGAATAAGCGTAAGGGTCAGTAACAGGATTCATAACAGAATGCAGGATTTGGGACTGCAATGAGAACGGTAGTGCCATCCGAATCCATCCGAATTCGTGATAACAACGAGGACAGTTCCTCAGAACAAGCACCGTGAACATATTTATAGAAAAAGCAAATAGAAGCTATGTTACGGCGGTGAAAATCTGACTGAAGTTGTGATGACAGGTTAGGGTTGATAACGTTGAAGATTCTTTCTTTTGAGTTTGTCACAAAGCCCCAGATATAAAACAGAAACACCAGGTTTGATGTGGCAGCAATATTTGATACACAGAGGAATACTAGACTTAGTGCAATCCAACTTGCACATGTAAAAATCTACCATTCGCCCGTGCATTGAATACTCTTGCCATATCTGGTCTGGTGGTCTTGCTACTCATCTCGAGATTCTTGACAAAATCAAAAGATGAATCTAAATTAATCAATCTTGACCAGGCATCTCGACTTCTGCCATTTTCTCACCGAAGTCACGTGACTTCCCGCTGCTTCTTTCTAAACATACTTTTCTGTAAACTGCACTGGCGAGTTTTTTTGTTTTTTTTTTATCCTGGTGCCCCGACTACCTGAATGTAAGCGTGCTACTAGATTGGCATCTAGGTCCCACCGTTTTACTGTTGAAATAGATAAATGCAACCGCCACTTCTACTCCAACAGTTTGTCTTCGATTAGTATTGGGGTTCAATTATATGCGAACTATATGAAAAATTAGGGTTTTCACAAAAAAAATTAATGGGCCGCATTCTACAGGAAGTAGGCGTATGCGCGTATACACACACAAACACTCTCTCATTCTCTATCTATCTATCTATCTATCTATCTATATATATATATATATATATATATATATATACATATGTATAATTATTTTTTAAAATATGATTCTTCATATTTTAAAAAATAATAATAATTTAGGCTCTACTTATGTATTGAGCACTGTTTTTTTAAAATAAAAAAATTACTAAAGAACTTCGGATCATTTACCTAACATGTTCTTTCTTATTTTTCTATATATTTGCACACACACTTATATATATATATTCGCATATATAATATATATATATATAATATATATATATATATATATATATATATATATATATATATATATATATATATATATATATATATATATATATATATCATACTTATTATAAAACCCAGGTTGTGTGCATGTGTGTCTGTTCTTTTATATATTGGATCGGATTTCCTACATTTTTCAACCGATTTTAACAAAACTTCACAGGACTACGTAAAATTACCTTGCGGTGGTTCTGACAGAAATTCAAAAATTGGAAAAAATACAATTGTTTTTGCACGAAATCAATTTGAAAACACAATTAAGAGGCATCGCTGTCGCGCGAATGAAAGGGGAACAACTCATATCGAGTTATACTTATAAAACCCAGATTGTTTGTTGTTTGTTTGTGTTTGTGTGTGTGTGTGTGTGTGTGTGTGTGTGTGTGTGTGTGTGTGTGTGTGTGTGTGTGTTCGTTTATATATGGGATCGGATTTCCTACATTTTTCAACCGATTTCAACAAAACTTCACTTTTTTGGCAGGTACTGTTTCTTATTGTCTTGCACCCTTTTTTTTTTAATTTTACATTAAGAATTCTTTAAAAATCCCATTTACAAGACGATTGTTTATAATAAAATTGAAATTTCTATTCAGTCGGTAGATTCGTTATGAATCTACCGATTGAAAACAATGTTTTTGTTTGAGTTTGGGTTTGACCAATTCGTAAAAAAAAAACAAAAAAATAAAATAAAAAAAAATTAATTAAGACATGTGTGTCCGTCAACCTTAAACAATAATTTTTGTCAATTTTATTTTTCAGTCTTTATGATGGTCGATACTTGATCTGTCTCTTGCTGTTACATCCCCGGGAAACGGGCTCTACTGCTAGTATATATATATATATATCCTTGTGCAAATGAATAGAAACAAAATGAATAATTCCGTTATAATTAACTTTTTCGTATTTTTCCACTGAAACATGACCCATTGCTCATGTTAGTACTTCGTATATCCATTCCATGAAGTCGTTCCTTGGATTTAAATCAGGAGAGATTCCGGGCCAGTCTATATTACTTTGATTTGCTCACTGCTCAGGCTTGCCAGTATGTTCGTGTCGCGTTACAATTTTCGTACGCTTCCTTGGAGTAACGTCCATCGCAAACGGTAGCCATAGGACAACTAATCGACAGTCGAGACAATAGTGTCCGGGCGTGATAAAAATCTGATGCATCACGTATGACTCAATAAAAAGGGAAGGCCTAACAAATTTGTCTGTTGTTTCAATGAATTCACTTAAGTGTGTATATACGGTAACCAGATTAATGGCGCTATATAATCATCGTTCCCAGTTTGTTCCAAATGGCCCTTTTAATTTTACCATTCCACGAATAATATTCCAAACGTTTGGTCTAAAGCGTGTAGTCTTCTTCTTTCGCTACCTCTGCCTCACGTACGTCGAGTTTCAAAAAGCAATTTCCATCACTGACTTCTTTGGTTAATGAGGTTTTCCTGCGTACAATATCTTCTGTGAGTTGTCATTCTTTCTTGATAAGGAGTTAATCCCAAAGATGATACTGCTGTAGAATTCGTAATTCAGAGAGAACTAAAGAAGGTACTTCTTAGCAGCAATCTTTTTGTTTTCAAACTCATTAAGATGAGTGATAAGGAAAGGGGAACTGTTTTCGTGGAGAAAGTGTAGTTTACCTATAAAGAAATACAGGCTGATACTAATATATCCATTGCATGTGAATATTTGTATCTGGTTCCCTCACAGCATCTTTCTTTCTTTCTTTCTTTCTTTACAGCAGCTCCTCGTTTAACGATTTTCTGTTTAACGACACGAACTCATGACCAGATGAAGAACATATAATATCTAAAAAGCATTCTAAAAAACCCAACCTGCCAGTATTTTACGCTGCATAAATATTTTGATCGTTTTTGCTTACTCTTTCTTCAAAATGAACCAAAACAAATGAAATGAATAAATAAAGGAAAAAATAAATAAAAAATCATTTGCACCGTATTGTATACAGTACGCAAACCGAAATAATGTTCAGAAAATGCAGAGGGAAGTTACATGATGGCGGTTGTTTCAATCCCGTTCCCACTGCCGACACGCAGCTTCCCTCTGCCTTTTCTATACTTTCTAATGCGATTTCGTCTTCGATTGTGTGTGTGTGTGTTTTTAATACGATGTCAATCGTTATTTTCTTAATTCCTGTTCTTTTATTGTTCACTCTCTTTAAAAATATGTTTTTCTTCTCATATACTCAGTAAAATCATACGTCTTAGTCACTTTATGACCATGTTTGTGGTGAAAAAATAGACAGAAAGCTATTTTTTTTTAATTTACTATATTGTTTAAACATTTCAAACTAAATGCAAAATTTTACAAATGGTGCAAAAAGTAATCTTAACGGTATCTGAAACTGATTCTCACAAATCCATTGCGGACATGACTGAAATATTCGCAGGCAGGTAAGACTTCTCTGTTAGTTCATAATAACATATATATATATATATATATATATATATATATATATATATATATATATATATATATAGAAAGAGAGAGAGAGAGAGAAAAAAAAATTTTTTACCCGTCACAGTCGTCCTCTCATACAAATACTCTCGCTAATTTTTTTTTTTTTTATTCCTGGAGTTATTTTTTCTGATTTCTTTTTGAATTTGTAGGTCTGATGAATTGGATCGTATTTACGATTCCAATGTAATAAATTATAACCATGGAGTATTAGTGTTTAAGCCTTTTGCATTATATTCTTACTTTGTCCTGAACATTAAGTTCTACCTGGATTCCATCCTCTTGGGAATTTATTTATACACATACATACATAAATACATACATACATATATATATATATATATATATATATATATGTGTGTGTGTGTGTGTGTGTGTGTGTGTGTGTGTGTGTGTATATTTCAAATCTTGTTTTTAGTGTGGTTACCCTGGTTTAAAATAGACGACGGATATGGATTATATTTTTAATTTATTTGTTTAAACTTTTTTTTTTTAATGGGTACTCATATTTGAGTAGATGCTTTGTTTTTTTTTATTTATTAAACATATTTATTTACATCTACGATCTTGAACATTCGAGAAATCTTGTTAGAAAAATATGTCGGAGGTCGCATATTTCTCGAAGCGAAATTAAACCAGGGTAACCACACTAAAAACAAGATTTTAAATATACACAGACATACACACACACACACACACACACACACACACACACACACACACATATATATATATATATATATATATATATATATATATATATATATATCACATACTGTTCATATGTATATATTTCTCTCTTTCAATCTGTCTTCATATATATTACATTCGTTTCGTGTCTATTTATCTCTCTATCAATCTATTTGCAGATCTATCTATGTTAATATCTATCTATCTATCTATGTGCACATCTATGTTCATATCTATCTTTCTGTGTTCATATCTATCTATCTATCTATCTATGTGCCCATCTTTGTTCATATCTATCTTTCTGTGTTCATATCTATCTATCTATCTATCTATCTATCTATCTATCTATCTATCTATGTGCCCATCTTTGTTCATATCTATCTATCATTCTATGTTCATATCTATGTCCATTCAACCACTAAGAAGCGTCTCGTTAGCTGAATGATTAACAGTACATCAGATCAGTTGATCGTTCCCATTAAGGGTTACAGGTTCGATTCCTGAGGGAGAAGCACATGTTTTTTACGATATCTATCTATCTATCTATCTATCTATCTATCTATCTCTTTACATGTGCTGTTATCTCTCAAACTGTGTTCATCTCTATCCATCGCAATGCATTAAGAGATGTTTTAGATTGCTCTTAAATGACCATATATATTTATGTCCGTTTCATCATTTCTCTATTCATTCTCCATTCGTCACACTATAACCGAATATATCTTTGTTCTAATTCTATTAAAAAATGATTCTGTAGGCGTCCTGGGTTTTCTTATATTCCTTTATTCGTCTTTTTGGTTTGTATATTTAAGTATATACATAAACACGCATATATATATATATATATATATATATATATATATATATATATATATGTGTGTGTGTGTGTGTGTGTGTGTGCTTATGTATTTATTACACAAAAGAGATAATTTAAATTTTAATCAACCATGACATTTTATTGTATTCTGTTCAAACAACGTCTTGAAGGCATATATTTTCCCGCGTCCAAACTTAATGTTATGGAAGAATTGGATTACGTCCGACGATCCAGCAACTAATTCCCAACAAATTTATGAAATTATTTACAAGAAAAAATACCTAGAAGTAAGAAGAAGAAGAAGAAGAAGGAGGAGGAGGAGAAGGAGGAGGAGAAGAAGAAAAAGATGAGGAGAAGAAGAAGAAGAAGAAGAAGAAGGAGTACAAGAAGAACAACAAGAAGGAGAAAATACCTAGAAGAAGAAGGAGGAGGAGGAGGAGGAGAAGAAGAAGAAGAAGAAGAAGAAGAAGAAGAAGAAGAAGAGGAGGAGGAGGAGAAGAAGAACAAGAAGAAGAACAAGAACAAGAAGAAGAACAAGAAGAAGAAAAATACCTAGAAGAAGAAGAAGATGAGGAGGAGGAGGAGGAGGAGAAGAAGAAGAAGAAGAAGAAGAAGAAGAAGAGGAAGAAGCAGAAGAAGAAGATGAGGAGGAGGAAGAGGAGAAGAAGAAGAAGAAGCAGAAGAAGTACAAGAAGAAGAACAAGAAGGAGAAAATACCTAGAAGAAGAAGAAGAAGGAGGAGAAGAAGAAGAACAACAACAGCTGCAACAACAACAAGAAAAATACCTTAGAAGAAGAAGAAGAAGAAGAAGAAAAACGAGGAGGAGGAGGAGAAGAAGAAGAAGAAGAAGAAGAAGAAGAAGAAGAAGAAGAAAAATACTTAGAAGAAGAAGAAGAAAAAAAGGAGGAGAAGAAGAAGAAGAAGAAGAAGAAGAAGAAGAAAAAAATACTTAGAAGAAGAAGAAGAAGAAGAAGAAGCAGAAGAAGAAGAAGAAGAAGAAGAAGAAGAAGAAGAAGAAAATGAGATTCAGAAAGGATAGGCAGTAGAAAATGTTGAGTTAAATGAAGAATAGGAAACTAGAAAAGAACAACAACAAGAAAAATATTTGAAAAGAAAGGAACAAAGAAGGAAAGAAAAAAATGAGGGCATTTATAAAAAGGAGATGAAAGAGAAGAAAATGAAGCGGAAACTGAAGAAACAACAAAGATATGAAAGAAAATGAAGAAAATTAATTTGAAAAAGAAGAAAAAGAAATTATTTTCCCGATTATATTTCTGTCCAGTTTCATTTACCAAATGTGGTTTATATATAATAACAGCGGAAAAATACGCTAGAACAATTTAATATATTATGTTCTTGCGAAGACACCAACTGGAAGAAAACGCGTAAAGGTGAATAATTTTCAAGTTCCTTAAAAACATCTTCGAGTGCATTACTCTGAAAAATATTAATTTCAATTATTTTTTTATTCACACAGTTATAAATCTGGTGTCTCATAAGTTCGTTAAATGTCAGAATAAACAATCCGAAAATGGTTTTCAAAAATGTCAAGTGTGAAGGCGCCGTTTCAAAGTGTGCTGGTTGAGACAAGGTAAATGATATAAAAGTTTACTTACACATTTACATTAGACTGATTAGTGCAAAAATCTGGGTTACCAAGTTGTAACGTCAAGTGTAAAATTTCAGATCACCTTTGCTTACAATAGGTGTAGGCTATAGAGACCAATTTTTTCAAACAAAAAAGTGGGGAAGTGTTTTATTCCACTCATTTGTGTTCAAAGAGAAGGAAATGGACCAACTTTCTGAAACTTAGGATGGAGTCGGGATGAAACATGTCCAGATATGCTCGAGGCACCAAAAATCACAACAAATAACAACGTATTCTACAAAAGTTTAAAAATGATCCCAAAAAACCTTGCTGATTTCGATTCAAATAATTGAATATATGCTTATATGTTGTTTCTTTAAAGCTTACACAGAAATTAGAAAAATATTTTTGATGTTTTAAGCAAAAATAGACCGATTTGTGACAGAATAACGGCTCTCGGGAGAGATTCAGTTTCCAAGAATTTGGAGTTTAAAAACTTGGTAGCTGCAGCGCTCCTGTCACATCTTCTTTGCATGAATCACATTTGTGAGGTATTTTATCACAGAATATATTTTTCACATCATTTCACCCAAAACAAGAGGATTTGCTACTGAAACGAGAAAAAAAGGACAATAAAAGAACGTCTTTCAGGAAAACAGAAGAACGCTATCGACGATGCGTTTAATTTTTTGAAAATTGTTATTGACTGAGAAGTAAGACATCGGAAGAGAATTCCACAGGCGAGAAGTTTGAGAAAAGAATATATTAAAATAGAACTTATGGTTACTATTTCGACAGTTACATGATGAGACGTAGTTGCCAACCTAGAAGCAGGCTTAAATTCGTGATGGCAGTGTGCCAAGGAGGTGAGCCAATTAGAACAACTGCCATAAAAATATTTATAGAAAAACAGACGGAAGCCATATTTAGGTGGTGCGAAAGTGAATGATATTGAGATGCCAGGCCGAGACCGACAATATCACAGACTATTCTTTGGTATTAATCTTGCGATATATAACCGAAGCACCAGATCAGATATGGTAGCAATATTTAATGCATGGAAAAATGGTAGATTATAAATATGCGAGATGAATTGTGACGAGAAAGTATACGGTGGCATAACACAGTGAGACAATCTTTTTATCAGCAGATCTAGCACTTGGTTCAATAGAATCACTACACTTCATATCTGTAGACATCAAGAAATCGGAATTAATTGTTCATCTGGTGGTTAGTATCAGCCATGTCGATGAAAGTCATACTTAAATGAAATTAGAACATTCGTTCTGAATATATATCTTAATAAAATAATAATACGAAATTTTCTTTCCATCTTTAGTCAAGAATATTAGTCTTAAAATGAATACTTGACCGATAACTGCATTTCCTTTGTTAAAAATAAAATTTTGCAACGATTGCCATCAAATAATCTGCAATTTATATGTTCTCAAGATGAAGAAAATCCAGCCAATGACTTTGCAATGGGGCTTCTGAATTAAAGCTGAAAGTTGTTGATTTACCCCAAAAATGTATTTCCTCGTCTGAAATTGAATAGGAGTGAAAGTTGTATTGACGAAGAAAGATAATGCGAGTAGCATTTATCGCGAAATATTTTGATCTAACGTTAAGTCTTTCAAACGAAAATCGTTACCGCAAAATTCATGCCTCACTTGCGCAAAGAAGACATAAAAAAACAGAGTCAAAATAAAAACGGAGCTGTTTGAATGTGTCCTAATTTCAAGGACACGGTTCATTTTAAAAAATTGTGAACTATTTGGGCCACATAATTCAAGTAATCGTTTCATTACCCACCACAATTCTCTTTCTCTCTCTCCTTTTTTCTTATATCTATCTATCTATCTATCTCAGCCTGTTCCTATCTATCTATCTATCTATCTATCTATCTATCTATCTCAGCCTGTTCCTATCTATCTATCTATCTATCTATCTATCTATCATATATATATATATATATATATATATATATATATATATATATATATATATATATATATATATATGTCGGGTTGACTAAAATTATATATATATATATATATATATACTAAAGAGATAATTTTAAGGTACTGAGTCCGATGAGTAAATTGTCGCCATTTTATATTTTTAATGTCCCTCATGCATGTTGTTTTTATTGTAAGGGCAGTTGGGCACCGGCTTTAAGAAAATGTGCACCATGATGCAGTTCACTTCGTCAGAAGTTAGGAAACGGCATGCTTTACTCCCTGGCATTCGTGCCGGGTGTCAATCTGAGCACAGTCTAGAGTATTCGGAACGAGTTGGATGAGTCTAATGGTGATTACGAAGGTACGGCAGCTTGGAAAACTCACTCTGATCATTCTGATAAGAAAAGAACATCTGAGTTTGTTAGTGGGGTCATCAGACTCAACACTGAGGCCTTCATCAAGTGTCTTGAGAAGGTAAAGCTGCTTTGGCTTAAGAGGATGGCAGCTGGAACACCCTATATCCAGCAACGGAACTATGCACCATGCCACAAAAGCGAGAGAACCCAGTCATGGCTGTCAGGCAATTTCTGACCACCTCACTCCTCAGACTGCAACCCCCCTTGATTATTATATGTAGGGCGGCTTTAACCGAGAGACCAACATAACTCCTTTACCGCTAAAGATGAACTGAAGGCAAGGATGACGTCGAACCTATTTAGGACCGATTTAGTAAAAATACAAGCCTCCACTGGGAAATAACTCCACAACAGACTTAAAATACGTTAAATTATATATGTTGATGGGAGATAATGATATTTTTATATATAAAGAATAATATTTGGGGAAATGATGTATGACAAAGTGGCAAAAGGTTTTCAGTTGGCGTGTTTAGGAAATTAGACTAAATTTGTTCGACTGCAAATGCGCATGAACGATCGATGCTGGGAATTTCAAATTTAAATGAAACAAAGATGAAAAGAATATCAATAAAACGCCTAGATAAAAATAGAAAAAATTAAATTTAAAATTACTAGCATTCTTGCGCATATATATATATATATGTATGTACTACAGTTCAACATTTTGTGGCTACCCCTGGTAATTTTTTAAATTAGCCCCAAAAGTCGTTGTTTTTACTTTAAATAAGAGAAAATTATACATGGTTTAAAAATGTGGGACATGATTTTTTTATTAGAACTTTTATTATGACAAAAAGAAAAAAAATCTTTTATAATTAAATTATGCTCTCGTCAAAATATACTCATTAGCCTTGATTACTG